GCTCTTCTAAACTGGAAGCATCTCCTCATAGTCTTACCATCCAGGGACAAACTCTCTTCCTTTCAAAACGTGAATCAAAATGCAGTTTAGTTGTATATAGAAACAGAATTTTTAAAATTGCAATTTGCTGAGAGTAAAAATTTAGATGTTTAATGAGCTATTTAACAAATCCAACTTGTAAATAACATGAAACCGGTCACACATTATTCCGTGACATCTCCGGACTAGTATCTACCCTCAGCAGATGCACACTGAGCAGACTTTGCATGCACACATTCACACAGGCATATATCACACACCTGTCCCCTCGCACACGGTGATCACTGTTGCTTTTGTATGCGAATGTAAAGACCACTGACTCTTCAATCAGCGTTCATTCAGACCCACTTTTATCTCTTTGATTTGTCCCGCTGAGGGTCTTTTAAGCCTTGTCTTGACCTTACATCACCATAGCAACGTCTTTTTTTCCCCCCTCCGAGCCGGCCACACAATGGACGACAAAAGAGGCGATGCATTTTGGGAAGGCAGATCGTCAGTCTGGTGTCATTGTGTTTGTCTGAGATTACGACGGGAGGCTGTCGCGAGGCTGAAATCAAGTTGTGTGATTATGTGAGCCAGCTATCAGCTACCAGTGCGTGAGGGGGGGGTTCTCGTCTTCAGTGGGACATTTAGCGGCTGTATAGATTTTGTGAAAAGCCTTTTTAGAGGAGGTGTAACCACAGAGGATGCAAATGTGGTGCAGCTCTGTGTGCATGCAGACATTCATGGTGTTAACTTTCCCTCTCCAGATAATACCAGCTGCTACCGGGTGTCCTTTAGGGTGCAGTTGCTATGATTTATGGAGGAATTTGCATTTTTAGGTGTATCTTGAGCACTTTTTTTTTAAAATTCAGCATCATTTTTTTCCAACTGTGGATGTGGACTCTGTAACATAATTTTATATGTGACTGGGGATGGGCTTTGTTAAGTCACCATGCTGGATTAGAAAGCTATTTACTCAGAAAATACAGTCCAAACAGTCACGCAAAATCACAGAACAAGGTTATGTACCTATTTAAAAGGTTCCTGCAGTACACAGACATTTCTCTGTCTCTGTCGCCTTCATTTATAAACTATAACAATAGGCAACCTTTTCAATAAACTGTCAGCATCCAGACAAGGTGGTTTGCGGTTTTGACAAAATGGGATTTAAGTGGAAATATTGGATGTAGTGTTTTTGGCTGATTTTAAATCGTACAATTCTACCTCCAGTCAATGACAGCATTGATTCATTGTGAGCTCTCACAATAGGCTACTTCACCTAAACAGTTTTGCCAAATTGCTTGCACTGTTGTGCGCCACTCAAGCTGTCTTTGCCTGAAAATAATCAATGACTGAGGATTAATTGGTACCTTGTTTTAATGTGTTGGAGAGTTGTGAGCCCCGTGCCTTTCTATCGCCTGAATGTTGAGGGACTCTATATAGTCAGACAGAACAAACAACTATCTCATTCTAATACTATTCATTTACACTTTTTTATCTCTTCTCTCTCTTTCTTCCAGTGCGTTAGTCAGAAACTGAATATTTTATTGATCCTGACGGGAAACTCATCACATCAGCTGACTGAACCTGCTGCACCTCCCTCTGTTAAACCAATCAGATTTTGCCACCACCTTTCCATTCCAATGCTGTCATTTAAAAAAAAAAAAAACCCAAATCATTCCTTTGTCTGTTGCTGTCAGCCGGATCGATGCGACCCTCCTCCGACCCATTTAATTCTGGTTCTAATCAGGACCGGGGTCCGTAGCTCCTTCCCATGAACGCACCCTTGCCCACATCGCATCCATTCAGGGCTTCAGCGCCATTCTTCACCCCTACTCAACCACTACCAGTGTCCATTCAGGGGGATGTTCACGGCATCTTCACCCCCTTAAAAGGATCACGTTTGGGTTTGACTGCCAAAGCCTTCACATATTTTTTTATTTTTTTTAGCTCTTCTATAGTCAATCCTTCCTGGTTTGGATCAATTAACAGCTGCAAAATGGCTCTTAGTCACAAGAAAGAACAATATTTAGATGTTTACTGCATTATGTGAGGATGTGTACTTTTATATTT